GACCAATTTCAAGACCATTTTTAGCAATTGCAGCTTTAGAATGAAGAAATATTAACTTTTTACTCTACTACATTTATATGGCAGCTGTAGTTACAAATTAAGATTATACATTACAAAGATATTCATCGATAAATCAAATCCTCTGACATAAAAGTGATACAAATCTGGGATCTGTGGCTGTCGCAGCACTGTAATAAGCATGGCCAATCGTTTAATTCGGCCCAGATGAAATGATTAGCTGGCTCTCCTGCCTGTCTGTTTACCTACCTGAGTGCACTATGCCATTGCACTCATTGCACATGAGCATGTGTTTTGGGGGTAGTGGCTTTGGAGGGAGGCCTAAAGAGAGGGGGTGGGATATTTCCAGTTGGATACTTTCAAAATCTAGCTGTCTCTTGCCAGTTTCACCAGCACTGCCTACCCCAGCTTTAAAAGGCAGTTCAATTTTACAATATTTCACAAAATGCAAAGACAAGGGAAAAATTCTAAACCATGAAAATGATTTGTGTAATCAGAACTTTCGTCTGCTGTAATCTCCCGTCTAGATTTATCTGGTGAGCCTTTGGAGGGGTCCGACCCCTAGGCTGGGAACTACTGGACTTAACTAACTAACTGTATATACAGTAGTTAAAACTAGATCCACCTTGAGCAGCTGTGACAGTAAAATGCTGCTTACACAATTTCTCAGTCACAGGGGCTATCAGTCACTTTTGATACTAATGTACTTAACTTAACAACACTTTTCAATGCAGGACTTTTACTTGTAATTGAGTATTTGTACACTGGTGTATTGGTACTTTTACTTAAGTAAAGCTTTTCAGAAATTCCTCCAGCACTCTTGGCAAAAAAGCAAAATCAGCCAGACAGCCAAAGCCAGAGCAGAGTCCTGACTGTTGTTTATTAATTTCCCCTTTATCAGATTTCCCTTGACCTGTCACTCAAAATATGTTACGACCACAGAATCAGTTTTGATCTAACTGACAACTAAGTTGAATAAACAAATAGAAGGTGACATAGGAATGATGTTTTTTAAAGGTTCCTGTGGATCACAGATTAATGACAGTTTCCTCAGTATAATGGACTTTTAGTGAATGAGGAAGTTCACATAGTGTGAGCTGTTCACACCTTGCATTTTGAGAGAATGACACCGTTTAGAACATGAGACCTGAACTGATTTGTAACGTTGATGAATAGAGATGTATATCCACATGCACACCTATCACCTGTTCAGACCTTTTTTCCCACCGATGATAAACATTAACAAAGCAAGAATGTGAGATGCTGTTATGACACGCCAGCACAATACAGTATGGGCCCTTTGAGTGCCGCACCAAAAGACCCAGACAATCAACCTCTGAATAATTCACCTGACCTCTCAGGCCACAGAGCCACTCCTCCTCTCATCTTACCTGATAAAACCCTGACATTTTGACTGACCTTTTAAGCTTAATAACCTCCTTTATGTACCATCGAGACTCTTTGACAGACGCAGCGTCACAACAGTCTAACAACGAACGCCTTTCAAGTTGTTGCACGAACTTGGATTTTGACCCACATTAAATTAATTATTGCACAAAGCAATAGAAGTTATTGATTGAGATCAAATTCAAGGAATTACCTTACATGACCCTCATCAGTTCAGTGTAGATGGAGCAGCTGAGGTTTAATCACATGTTCAATCACATGCAAGGTTTCTAAGTTACATCTCTCATCATTTTCTTTCTAATAAACTAAAACTGCTTCAGTTTTTTCTCCTGTTATACACATGCATACACACACACTCTGATTCATGATCATTTAGAGTTGCTTTCCTAAAGTACTTCACCTTAGTAAGTTTTAATCACATTAATGTTCATTATATGTATAGTTTTTTTTCCCGTTGCTTTGTTGTTGTTTCCCCTTTTTTGTCAGCATGGCTCTGGAGATGGCAATGTTGGTTGGCCTGTCTGTTGGTCCACTGCTTTGGTTCTGACTGAAATAGCTCAGCAACCACTGACTTGATTAACCTGTACACAGACATTCATGGTCGTGAGAGGATGAATGACATCTGCACAGGTGCGTTCACTGTTGCTCCGTAATGTCCACCATGTCAAATAAAAAATGAGTCTCCAAATACTTGGACCCTCTACGCAGGATAAGCTGTTTTGACGATGCATGGATGGATGGGTCTCCAAATATAGCCCACCTAAGCAGCTGCTAATATACCTGCATGGTCCACCCAGGTAAAGTATATGTGGGAAACACTATATTTAAAGTTAGGGCAAGCTGTAGGCTTATATTTTGTAAATATTATAGGGTAAACCTAGTTTATTGTCTTCCAACTGCGTGTCACGTGACTCTGTTGGTCCAGTCATGATTGAGTGATCATGCCTGCAAGTTAGCCTAGTTAAATTAACCCATGATGGAAAAAAAAATCAAAACAGTAGAAAAACGAGGTACCAACCGAACTGTGGCTCAGTCAGGGTCTGAACCGAACCGTGGACTCAACACCAACCTTAACTATTGGATGAACTGCTGTGAAATTTAGTACAGACACTAATTTCCCCCTCAGGGTGAAGTGTAATGACTTTGCTGATTCATTGCCAATTTCTCTATAGCGCCATTATCAAGTCCCCATTTAATTTGTCCAATACTTTTTGTTCATGATCAAATATCAAAATTAATGACTTTCCCATCAGCCTCAGCTGTACTTTGTGTTTAGGGCTAATCAGCTAATGTTAGCATGCTGACACACTAAATGAAGCCGGTGAACCTTCTATCTGCATAATATCAGCATGTTAACATTGTCATTGTGAGCTTGTTAGCATGCTGACATTAGCATTTAGCTCAAGTACAGACTCTTGTTTCTCTAATTCCTTGCTTTTTTAAATCATTTGTACCGCTAACCGCTTAAATTTAAGTGCATTGTATTGGTAGAGGCCCGCGACCCTGTACACAGGATAAGCGGTTGACGATAGAGGGTAGAGGACTACAAGAGTACACAGCATTCCTGTAACCTTCTGACGATTATGTTATATTCAGGGAGATGCTAATAAATATAATAAAAGACAAGACAGGCAAAGTTTTTTTAACTATTGAGACACTCAAATTGTAAAAGCTACTCCACGGCTGCATGCATGATTTGCCTGTACTGGTAAAAAGTTGTGAATATTGGGCTTACTACTGAGGCTTACAAGAAAGGATAAGTTTCCTTTTTTCTGTAATTCACACTGCACAAATTACAACACTAAGATATAAAATATTAAGTTGAGAGATGTCAGTGTGCATAGAAACATAAAGCATGACAACAAAATGTGTTATAGCTGTCAGTATAAATCTAAAAAACAGTCTATAAAAAGTGACGCATATGTTGTCATGTTTCAGATAGGCTTAATAATCCCAATCTCTAGAAAGACACTTCGATGCACCTTGCTTTTTAAAAAATGGAAATATGTCCATGTAACTGCTGGGTTAGTGGGCAAACATCTCAATCTGATGTCATGTTCTTTGCATTTGTCCATTTGTTTCAGAAAATCAACATCACTATCAGTGTAAGCAGTGCTAACGTGTCAAAGCAGATCTGTCACTATAGCACGCAAAAATAGTGCTAATATTATAAAGGCACACAAAAGAAACATTTAATTTAAATGTGTTTTAAAGTCAATGTCTCCTTAAAGTTGTAGCTGACAGTTAACAACTGTGAGTTGTCAGACAGTTACACCACAACACCACTTAACAACTGAGCAGTGGTGAAAGTACTTAGATCTTTTGCTCAAGTAAAATTTGTTGTATCACAGTGTAAAAATACTCTTACACATTGAAGAGTATCACTGCATTATGACTGGACTGCACTTAAATAGCACCTTTCTAGTCTTCTGAGCACTCAAAGCATTGTACAAGCACTGTCACATTCACCTACTGATGCAAGGTGTCAACCGCTCCTCAGAAAGTAAACCTCCATTCACACTTTGGGTTCAGTGTGCCCATGGACACTTCAACATGCAGGAGGATTAATGTGTCTATCACTTTAATGCTTAAAGCAGGTATAACAATACATAACAACTTTTAGTTGATTTCTATTTTGTATCAATAATCTGAATTTGTAAAGTAAGATAAAATAAATGCAGTGGAGGAAAGGTATACTCAGGTAGCCTAAAGTACATCAAAGTTGTACTTAAGTACAGTATTTGAGTAAATGTAATTAGTTAGCAGCTTTCTACCGCTGCAGCGTAGTAGGCGATCATCAAACTACTTTCTGTGAGTAGAGAATGATCTGCAGGATATGAGCACTTCACTGCCTCCCGCGATATAATGATGTAGAAGTTACTCATCACCGCAAAACCGTAGTTTACCTACAACTACAGTATCTGTAGCCTAAGATCACAGTTTTTATAAACATCATCCTTATGATCATTAGGCTACTAATCCAATGTGTTCCTCTGCAGCACACTACAGACTGAAACCTTTATTTCAAAGCGAAACCAAGAAATAAAATCATGTTTTGACAGCTAAACCGTCCTGCGGTGATCGGGCATCATCACAAAAACTAAACACACTTCGGTCTTATACAAAAAGTATAGGTTTTTAGTACCTATAAGTTTAGGTAAAAAGAAGTTTTGGATGAGTTTCAGCAAACAGCAGCTCAGTTTAACCAACACAGAACCAAAGTAGCCCAACACGTGAAGTTGCTGTTGTGGAAGTGCACACAGTGGGTGTATATTCGTCCTGAGAGAAAACAAGAGAGTGAAGCTGAGGTATTTCCCTTCCCAAACCCAGACTTGCCAACTCTCTCCTCCTCCTTCACCTCAGTCTTTGATTCTTTCCGTTTCTTTTACCGTGGCGGGCTCCCCGGAGGGCAGCGCAGACAGTTGTTACCCATTCACTACAGCTTCCTGTTCGTCTGCCTTTCTCTCTTCCTCTTCCATCTCTTCCCTTTCTCTCCCCAAAATCCATCTCAGCATGTCGACCCCTCTCCCCGCTCCACCTTGACCCCTCCAAGGTCAGTAAAAGCGTCTTCTTACCGTGCGTCCTGGCTTCGTGCGGTGCGTCCCGGCGGAGCTGCGCGTCGCCAGCAGTCCGTGGAATTAAACAACAAAATCTCCAAACTACAAGAAGAAACGAGAGTTAATGTTTTCCTCCTGGCTTCCCACCACCCGCTTCTGTTCCTCCTACTCCACTCCCCTCCCTCTCTCATGCTCTCCCCTCCTCCTCCTCTCTCCACTCCCCATCGTGGGCGCAGTCAGTGTTTCTTTCCTCCATTCAGTTATTAATTCAACTCTTGTCATGAAAACACGGAAACGTTTATTAGCAAAAACACTTACAGAGGCAAGATAAATGGCTGGTCACGTGGCGTATAGTCGTAATTAAGAAGTTTGGAACATCTTTGACCGCACGGTAAACTTAAATGAATAAATTAAACTACCTCACGAACTTTCACAACACTTTTAGAAAAACACCAGTTAATATTTAGGCTACATCTATAAGACTGAAAGGCCTGTGCTACAGTGATTGAGATGTAGTCAGAGTCTTTACTTAAAAGTACTAATATTACACTGTTAAAATACTTTAGTAGCCTAAGTATAATCAAGAAAATGTGGGCTACTTAAAGTAAAACTCAATACTATTAATAATAATAATAATAATAATCTTTATTTGTAGAGCACTTTTCAAAAACAAGTTACAAAGTGCTTTAACAAGTGTAAAGACAATAATACCCAAGAGACAATAAGGCTATATATTCTATAAAAACATTATTATTACTCATGTATTAATGTAATAGCAGGAGTTTACTGCTGTAGTTGGTTGAGCTGGAGCTCATTTTGAACTATTTTGTATTAAACTGCAACTGATGATTATTTTCTCCATTAATCGATTGATTGTTTGGTTTGTAAAAATAGTGAGAAATGATGTTACAATTACCCAGAGCCCAAAGTGACAACACTACTCATATGTACTGTCTTACTTTGTAAAATAGTAACTAATGCTGTCAAATAATTGTAGTGGAGTAAAAAGCAGGCCTATATTTTACTATGAAATGTATTGGAGTGGAAGCATAAAGTGGCATGAAAGGAAAGTAAAGAGCCTATATTTGCTTTATCTATGTTTGGTCTTCTGTTTTGTTTTGGAACTGTGAAGCATTTTGTAAGCCTGGATTTGAAACCGACATAAATGTAGTTTTACTTACTTTTTCCTTGCAGAGTGAAGCTGACTTCTTCTGTTGTGCTTGTGAAGAAGAAAAACGCAAAGAACACACACACACAAAATGATGTAATGATGTGTGTACAGTAATTATTTGCATGTGCATCAGTTGCAAAATGGTCATACTGTTTTCCAAAAGACCATAGGGTCAGGTTTATTGCTCATTCACTGTTGCTCATCTTCGCACACATTCATAAGTGAGCTGTTTCCCTAAATCATACATTACTCATATACACCCACACACCCCACCCACAAGCATTAACCAGTTAACATATTAAAAGATTTAGTAAACATTCACATCACTTCAGGCCCTCAGTGATTGTGGTGTCACTGCGCCATGCGTTCATCAAATGATGATGGGACCACAAGGTGTCGCCAAAATGCATAAAAATACATCTTTGGATTATTTAGTATTTGTTTGTCATAGTTTTTCATTCTGTTTCATCAGTATCCTCTTCGGTCTTCTTGGCTTGGCAGATGTTTTGTCTTGCTAATCACATGTGTTAATATGTTTACACAAACTACCTGCTGCTAATAGCTTATTATGCACTACCTCACAGTACCTCACAGTCCTATTGCACCATTGTCAGTTACATTGTCTTTGTCTTACAGTCCAGTCCCATAGTCTATTGTGTTTTTGCGCTATAGTCTTCGTCTCTTGCACTTTTATGCACATATTTGTTCAGTTTATTATGTTTTATGTTGTATATTCTATGTTTTGCACGGTTTAGTGCTTCTTTACCTGCTGCACCATAGGCTCCTGGACAACAGTATTTCAACCCAAATGTATACTTGTACATGGATGAGTTGACAATGAAGAGTCTTTAACTGTCCCATTTTTACCAGCTCGTCGCTGCCATTGTTTTGCTAATTATGATATTTAGTGCCCCAAGTGTTTTATCACATAATACAATTCCCCTGTTGATGTAGTAGTACGTAAGAAGTTGCAGTTAGCAAGAGTCACGACACTTGAATTTTAGTGGGCAAACCCTTGTCTGAGGAGAAAACTGTTTTGTGTTTTCTATAGATAACCCAGCAAAAAAAAAACATCGCTTTTTCAGGACACTGTATTTTAAAGAAAATTCTGTAAAAAAATCTATTTATTACTTTATTGTAAAGCGTGTAAACAATTAAACTATATTCTTTCATGCTTGTTCAATGAAGCATAAACAGTCAATGAACATGCACCTGTGGAATAGTTGTTGATACCCTGCGTAAAGACGGTAGGCAATTAAAGTCACTGTTATAAAAACTTAAAACAATAAAGAGACCTTTCTAGTCACTCTGAAACCCCCCCCCAAAAAAGATGTGCTGGGTCCTTGCTCATCTGCGCGAACGTGCCTTAGGCATGCTGCAAGGAGGCATTATAGGACTGCTGATGTTGCCAGGGCAATAAATGGCAATGTCTGTACTGTGAGACCCCAAAAAAAGCACTACATCAAGACAGGAAAGACTAATCGTTCTCACAGTGGCAGACCACATGTGACAACACTTGCACAAGACCATAGAGCCACACCTGATACTTTCTGTTCCGTTACTCACACGTCTGTGAAACTTTGTCTTATTTTGTTGAAGTTTGTTTTGTTCATAGAAATATTAACACAAAAATTAAGCAGTTGTAAGTGAGAGGACATTCCTCTTTTTTGCTACATGTCATTTTGTACCTTAGTTTGAGCAAAATAAAAAAATAATAATACAAACATTTTTTTGTTTATCTAATAAACAAACCTGTTGACTGTGTTTGGAGCAACAGCCTCAGTTTTGGCTGAAATCTCTGCATCAGGGGATTCCTTTTTGTCCTGTGTCTTCCTCTCCTTCTTTGTTTTCTTCATTTCTTTCAGCTTACAGTAGTGGTGGAAAGTACCTACAGTATATTTACGTTTATTCAAGTCCTGTACCAAGGTACAAATTTTATTTTATTTTTTTTGTAAGTATTTCTCTTTTATGGAATTGGTATTACAGATATTAGTATGTAGTCAACATGGAGGTTTGGTTAGCAGAGACTGTCCTCACCTGAGGCACCACAACAAACAAATTTAGAGGGAACAGGTTGGTTCATACAGTTAGGTTAAGCTAGGATAACCTAGGTATAGAGTGACTCGCATTTCAGGTGGGTTTGGTTCGGTTTGCACAATGCCATTTGACAATCAAGTGGTTAATCCTTTATTCCTAGGTGGTTGCAACAGTATTTCTAATTCTTGACTTTTCTTTACCTCAGTTTTGGTCTACCTCTGTGCTACATTAGAAACATCCCTTGTCCATTCCTCAGTCTCTGCTTGTTTTCGTGCCTCCCTATCACTCATTTGATTTGTCATTTTGATGCGTACACCTGCCTCCTTATGTAGCGCTCCCTTAGTATTTTCATCTCCCTCTGTCCATTAGTGTCACCTGAAATTAATAATATATGAAAGGTTAAGGTATGAAGTTCAGTTGTACACCTGCAACCCTACCAACTAGAAATAGTCAGCACACCCCATGTGCATCATGTTGTAACTTGTTGCAGAATACATGTTGGCCTGGCACCTAATCACATGGGATTAGTGGGTTATTCAGCTATTTTTGGCCTTAAATGAAGTTTTCTCGTATCACCAAACTGGCTCACTTTTTACTAAGGCAGATCACTGTGACCTACGCTGAGTCTCAAACATGCTTCAGAGCAGGTTCAATTTACAATAAAGTGAAAAGTGATAATATAAAAGTGACATTTTTATAGATTACTCAGAGCCGGAATCAATTGAAACTGTTCCATGATATCTTTCCCATAAAACGTCATTTTTACATGTTGTAGCGACATGTGGCCCACCGCAAGGAACCCCGCTCTCTTGGGTCACCATCTCCGGGTGCCCTTAGCCAATTATGAATTCAGATACAACTTTGGAAAAACGGCGACCCAGGCTAGTTTCAACACTAGGTACTGGCCTGACCGTCTGCATTGAATATCTAACTCCAGATTCAAACATTCCCTAGTCAACCCCTCTTCCCCTCTCGTTTTAGATTCCAGAGAGTAGGGCACTGAACACATAACCTGGAATGACCTCCTTAAAGGGCCAGTTTGCTGCTTATCTATAATGAGGTGTGTTAATGGAGGCAGTGTGGATGTTAAAGTAAGTAAACACTAACTTACCAGTCCAGAAGAGGGGGAAGAAAACGAAGACAAAAAATGAGATGAAAAACTGTTTCTAGTTTTCTTAAGGCGTCCACCCAAAGAGAAACTTATTTAATTTCAACAAGCCCCAAAAAGTTCTAGGGTCAGCAACTTAAATAAAGAAATGGACAGGGAGGACCCAACCCTTTTCTCAAGCTATCATTGGCTATCAGGACTTGATCATGACATTGTTTGGTTTTTACATTACTTCCGTTTCTGAGTAGATGGTCCTTCTGTCCAGTAGTTGCAACATCCCTTTGCCTCAGTTCACAAACAATTCTCCAAATAAGGTAATAAAAACGTATCGTGCAGGTCTCTATAACTCATGTAACTCAAATCTCTTCTCTTACATAATCCTAAATGCATGCACAATTAAAAAAATCTGTTTTAAATGCATCACTCCAAATGCAAAATACATCAAACCAATTCATGTCAACACTCATCCTACCCTTCTCACCTCTTTCTGACTTCAAAAGGAGAGAAAGGCCTCCTCCTGCTCCTATAATCACAAAATGATTTCCTCTTTACTGGACATCAACGTCTAATCTGAAATATGATCATGTACAACCATAGGTCTCTGGAGGCTGATTAAAGGTCAGGGCACAAGAGACTGCAGAGACACACTAAAATATAAAACAGTATATCAAGCAAAACATCGTTCTTACTTTAACTTTGTACCATTGCAATCTGAGCAAAGCAGTCAACAATTATCAGTCTTAAAACAGAGGCCATCAGAGTTAAAGCACAGGTGAATCATTTTACTATAAGGCTTGTATATGTGTCAGGCAGTCAAACAGTATCTGTGAAGGCCCCCAAGAACCAGAACCAGTTGCTTCCAGTGTCCTTTTCTTCACCTTCATCTCATTCTCACAACAATGTACACTGTGTTGAAGGGTCAGAATTAGAGGTGTTGGTAGGTGGATTTTCAAACTTTGGTGAGATCCAGGCTATTTCTCCCTGCTCCTTACCTAGGCTAACCACTTCCTGGCTGCACTTCAACAACAGGTTCTTATTATTTAAAGACAGTGCTCACGTGCACATGTTAAGTGTAATTGATTCTCCTTTTCATGCTGCTACAAATAAATTCCTTCTTAAAACAACTTCAGTGTTTGGTTTATGGTAATGCTAATGACACTGAGCACGTGCACTCAACTGCTTTGGTCGACCATGGCGAGGCCTGTTCTGAGTGGAACCTGTCCTGTTGAACTGCTGTATGGTTGTGGCCACCGTGCTGCAGCTCAGTTTCAGGGTCTTGAATTTTATGAATAATGTTGAGGTTTGGACTGTTGGTTGAACATTAGCATTTTGAAGCTCTGGGCTCCACCTCAACCAACTACAAATTAAAAAGTAAAATCCTGCTTTTACATTATTGCATGAGTAAAATAATCTAATGATATGATATAACTCTATTTTTTATATAATACATATAAAATGGTACAGAACGAAAGAGGACAAAATGTCCTGACTTCTAATCTTGGTGCTTGTAAGGTAAAATATCTTGGACATTTTATTACAGAACAAATGACACATGATGTATTTTGATTTCTAATTGTCTGTGTTCTGCTTTTACTGTAATTAATATGTCTTATGATTGACTTTAGGCTGGACAGGGACAGTGATGTTTATTAATGTGCACTGTCCCTGAGAAATAAACTGAATAAATAAATGATAATATTTAAAGGCAATAGTGCAAGAAGTTCTGAACTGAAGAAGTCCTTTGGATAAGGGACGAAACGTCTTCCAGTAGCTTCTACCAAGTCCAGTTGCCCTTCATTTTAACCCTCGTTGGATAACTATGACCTGGATGACTGAGAATCTTCATAGACAAGATGTAAGCCTGTATTCAAGCAAAATGCTCTGATGCAAGTTTAGTATGTGTTGGCTACGGATGGAGCGGAGAGCTCTCTGTTCAGAGCACATTGTACACTACACACACGAATAACAACAAAGCAAGTATACACAAACTTCAAGTGGCTTATGATGACGGCATGAGAATATTATAGACCTAGATGATGTATTGCAAGTGACATGTCTGTGTCCGCAGGAGTCAATACTTTCATGACTGATCTAAGAAAGTTGATGTGTATTTGCAAGCATTATGACTCTGAAAATGATATCATCTTGGTTTTATCAAACGCAACTTTTAGTACCTCATGTTGCCAGTCCCAGCTGTTGAAACATTGGTAAATTTATCCCGCTGTGAGACATGAATATATATTTTTATACCTTTGAAACCATGATCTTTTATTGTGCCTTTGTATGTAATGTCCTGTCTTTCATTTGGATCCTGAGTCTGAAATAATGTAAGAATTGAATTGAAAATAAATCACATTGCAGGACAGGAGTATTTTAACAGTGTGGTATTGGTAGCCTGTTACTTAGACTGTGTATAAAGCAGGGGTAGCCAAATTTTTTTGATTGTGGGCCATATACAGAAAAATATGAGAAGTCACGGCATTATTCTGACATTTTCGCATTCCCTTGCTAACTCTAGTGTTTTCAGTTTTCTGCCAAGTTTAATGAGCTGAGGTCAACTTGGTTGTTTATGGTGACAGCGACATCTAGTGTTTAAACTAGGATGTACAATGTTCATACAGTACAATACAGGCTGTTAGAAATAAACTCACCATGTTTTAGCCTAGTCTTTTATGTAGTCTAGCCGTCTTTATACCCCTAGTATAAAGGATCTGTATACATATTCCACGCTTGGATCTACCAGCTTATTGTCTTATTGTGTGCTGAACTGATCATGTTTTAATTAGGCTAAGCTAAAATATTAATAGCCTAGCTATTTATACATTTTGATTGCCTATTTCTTTCACGAATTGAGATTTTTGTGTTGGGTTTTTTGACTGTACTTAAGAAATAATTTTAAGACATCATGTTGCTATCTGGTTATTTGTGAGGGGTATTTGTTATAATAATTATTTGCAATGTATGGCCTACTGCTACACTAAGAAATTATCAATCAAAAGAATCAGATTAATGACAGCTGATTTATTGTCTGCTGAACTAATCGTGTTTTAATTACGCTAAACAATAGCTTACCAGCTATTAATGCATTTTTATCGCTCTTTCTTTCATAAGTCAAATCATATTTTATTTACAGTGCAAAATCACCACGCAGCCTGGTCCCAAGAACTTTCCAAGAAATACACACGATCAAATACAAAAGAGTTAACACGTAAAACACAGGATAAAATACATAAGACATAAGAGAAAATACTCAAGATAAAGCACATCAGGGTAAACACAGCGAAAATTTATGAGAAGATAAAACAGCTACATTTAAAAAGATTAAGAGGATATTAAAAGGTGCTCGACCCAACAGGAATTCTAGGAGATGCTGTGGTGACATGACATGAGCACGAGGAGGTTTTTTTTAGAAAATATCCACTAAATAGATAAACTGTATTTTAGGAAATAACTAATAGAAACTCAAACAATAACTGAACTTGTTTAAACTACAGGACTTGGCTTATTTTTCTCCTGATAAGTGCCCTGTTTATGAATATTTTGAGTTTCAGTTTCTGTAAACTGAACGCCTTTCAGTTTGAATTGAAGCAGTACCTGAATGCAACTCTGGTCATCCAAAAAAGAAAAACTCGGATCACATGACCGCCTCCGTTATTTCCTGCAGCAGCAGCCACCTCTTCGCTGCCCGCCCCTGCCTGCCTGCCTGCCTGCGACAGCACAGCAGTGGTGTGGTCGCTCTGAACGCACGTTAACGGCGTACCTAGTGAAAGCCTCGGCCTCTCGGGAAACCCTGCTCCACTCACAGCGACGACGGATATAAACACACACATATATTTTTGTAAACTTGGTTCCTGTGTGTATTTGATAGCGTTGTAAAACCAACAACAACAACAACAACAACAAAAAAACCAACAAAAAGCCAGTGCTCATAATGGCGACAGCTGCGGTGTCTGCCCCTGCTGGCTGCGGCCCCAGCCCCGGGTCGGGAACGGAGCTGGTCCGCGGGCAGGCCTTCGATGTCGGGCCTCGGTACAGCAACCTCTCCTACATCGGGGAAGGAGCCTATGGGATGGTGTGGTAAGTTTAGCCGAAGGCTCTGTTTCCCTACCTAACGTTAGCTCTTTTTTTTGGAGTTTACACCTTTTCTTTTTAGCCCGACATAACATTAGCTCGCCCAAATCTTTTCCGTTATAAACAACTTAATGTCATGTTGTAACGTTAGCTAGCAAGCAACAGGGACAAACCGAAACACAGCCTTAGCTAGTTGGACAACGTTGGTTTGGGGAAATAAATCACGGCTGAATGTGTGACTTATTTAAGCTTACATTTGGTGGGATTTTGTGTTGTAATGATCACCGACTAGAAGTCAGTGTATTTAGCCTGGAAGTCTATTTTTATTTAGTTACGAACTTGCATCAATGGGGATCAGGTTTCTAACGTTACATAAAATCCCATTTGCATCGCTTTTAACTGCGGTTGTAACTTTTAAGTGTCACATACAGCTTATAAAATGAACGTATTTGGTATTTTGTCAGTAATATGTCTGCAACAGGAACTCGGCAGGGTGTGTGCAATCGTCCACTTTAAATCCACACTGATTTTAACAGACTTTGCCTCTCTAACTAGTGTTAACACCCCTTTCAATGCTTGATCGCTGAATATAGTTCAGTTATATAATCAATACACAATTTTTAGTGATTTGATACTATTTTTTTTTCTTCATTATATCATCACCATCAAATGTCCATGTGCTCTCAACCAGGATAGCTGTTAACTATGTTTAGGTTTTGTAGGTGTTATTTGCATAATATGCCTGAAAATATGATGCAGGAGTACCTAGAGGGGTTTTCCGTGTACAGTTGTTTCAGTAGCTGATGGCTGGTTACACATTGTATATGGAGGAATTTATAGTTGAGACCCACTCTGGAAGCAGTATTTTGTACCTAATAATATGCTACCAAGGATGTTGTGGAGGATAATCAAATGAAAACTAATTTTATGCGCAATTATATTTGTGGTATGTACATATTATCCGCCTCTACTGCATGACCGTTATCTTACTTGTGTACATGTATATTATTCATTCTGATAATTAACCCCAAAGATGAATTTTGAACTGCATCTCAAATTATATTGAGTCAAATTATACTGTCATCTTCTAAGAACACTAAATCTTCTAGTTTCTTTAGCCTGTGGCGATGCAGTTGATCTTAAATGTGCTCACTGTACTGTATTATATAATACATTGTCCTTGTGTCAAACAAATGCAGTGTAGCTCCTATGTGGTGAGAGGAGCTGGGTTTTCTGAGAAAACACATCTGACACATAGCTCGCCTACTGTGTAGAGGCACAGCAGGTTGTTCAGCATCTTTTTGTCCGCAAAATGGAAAACCCATCAAAAGCACACAGCCGTGGTTGTTACTCACATGATACCCTATCAACAAATGACTTGTACATACTGTAGCTCAAGGCAAGAAGATGACATAAAATTCAGTTCACCATTAAAACCCCAGTGTTGGAATGATGTTCAGTTGTAAAGAGATGTCTCTGAGGTTGCTCTAGTTTTAAAAGACACAATAATTCTTCAGAGTAAGTGTTGAAATCTGTAAAGAGATGTTCAGCTAGACGCTGGGCGACATCGCTGCACTTAAAGTCAAAATAACTTCAGAAATACTCCTGATATTAATGTTGATTTTGATGCAATTAATTGAATATCATCGTGTGCACTTGGGAAGTCATTTAAAGGATTAAATACCAAATGTATGCAGTCTGGATTCTGTTTCTGCTTCATATTACTGTAAACGTCATTGATTTGGGTTTCTTAAATGTTAGCTAGACACAATAAATAATTTGAAGACATGATTTTGCGTTCTGGTTACTTGTGATGGGTATTGGGCATTATTATTTGCAATTTATACTGCTACACTAATAAATTAATAATCAAAAGATCTGCTTCATATACAGTGACAGCAGACTTATTGTCTGCATGTTTTATGTATGCTAAACTATCAATACTATCAATTTATGCATTTTGATTGCCTAGTTCACAAATGGAGATTTTTGTTTGTTGGGACAATAGGTGCAGATTAGCTATTTTTGCCAACCCTGGCACATTTACATGGCTGTCGATTTATTTGCACAGCCCCCTATAAATAGATAAACAAGATTTTGGGAAATAATTCATAAAAACACAAACAATAACTGAACATAAAATGTATAGTTAAACTACTTTTTTCCCCCCTCCTGATTGCCTTTTGTTAATGAATATTTTGGTCGTACTGAAAGTTTGGTCACAAAAGCGCCAAAATATTTAAGGGACAAAACAAAAATTAACATAACTGTTAAAAGTTTGTACTAAGCATGCCAACGTGGACAAATTTATGTCAAGCTATTCTCAGCATCTGCAGTGTCCCACCTGAAACTTTCACAAAGACAACAAAGAGCTGTTTTTGTAAAGTAAAACTGGGCATGTCGTCCTCTAAGCCAACACTTGATGTTGATATGGTACAAGTGGTAACTTGTGGGATTTCTTTTCACTGTTAGGCTTGATTCTCATTGCGGTGGTGTTTCTGCACTTCACACTTGGAGATCATCTGTCAGTCAAACTGTGTGGGCAGCACTGTGACATTTTACATCCATGCTGGCTGTCAGGGCTGTCACTGGGGCTTTCTCCTGCAGGTTTTTGCAAATGCTGCTTGTAGTGATGTCAAATGCATAATCATCATGTTTCTTACCCCCCTCCTTTTAAATAAAAATCATATTTTGCTCTGAAATCTGATCATTGGTTTGTTTGGCTCAAACTGCAAAACCCCCAATTTTAAGGAAGCATGTTGTGACCAGTTTATTGTGAACTGTGCCTTTCAGGGCGCACCAAAAACTTGAGCTAATACGCCTTAAAATAGTCATGTTTAAGATTATCTTCCAAGGAAACAGTGAAAAAGGATATTAGGAATGAGAATTTGTATAAACGAGACACTCATAGTTTGACATATTTTATTTCCTGACATCAGCAATCATGTATTGGAGAAACAGGCACAGACAGGTCCATCATGCTTGGCTAAGGTTTCAGGGACTGGAACCGGAGTTGTTTTGACTCCCAGTGATGCGAAAATCACTAAGCTGGCTTAAGATGTCCATTAAATGTATTCCCCCCCACCCTATACAAATCTATACAAACGGTCCAGTACCCAGTTCTTTACTTTGGTGTTCCTCCTGTATTTTTGCCGTGCTCAAAGGCAGTTGGAGTGGGCGATGTGTCAGCCTCAGCCTCCTTGCACTTGTCTTGCTGTGTTCTTCTTGAAACCTGTAGCTTTGAGTCAGTTGGTCATGTTGCTTTGATGTGCAGCAGCCAGAGAAAGTGGTGCAGCGTGTACTTTGTAGACATCCCTTGGTTTGCATCAGATGTATTTTTAAATAACACCACGAAGTTCTTTTCTGGCTTTCTTGTGGTGGCACTGCACCACTCTGTACTGGTGGTACCTTCCTGTAAACGGCGTCCCTTGGGCTCTTCAACAGACAGTATGAGACCGCAAAGCTGGATTCATGATCGTATTTCATTTTATACTTTTTAAGCATAAACACACATTTCACACACAGAGGCTCTTTTAACAAAATAGGAAAAGATCACAAATAAATAGTAAGACACTTTTGATAGCTACAGTATAGGTCATAAACACCACCTGCATGGGCCAACATGCAATAGCAGCGAAGTGATAAAATGCATCTGTCAGGCCTCGACAATGAACATTGATATTGACTTTAAAAAAAAAAAGTACACAGAAACCATCTTTGGGAGAAATGTATTTGTCATTTTAGGTAGTTGTTATCACGCTGATGTATGTCTGACAAGTTTGGTTTTAATATTTGATGCCATAAAGAGGGGATTTCACTTCATGAAAAACATTTCTAAAACCTAGGTAGGTACTAAAGTCACTTTGCATGAAAGAGTTACACCTGCAAAATATAACCGAGACAACTTTCTAAAACTTCCACATTAACATTAAAGCGCTGATGTGCGTTTATGACATGTCATGGCAACAATAAAGCTTTTTAATTTACTATATCACACAAGATATTGCGTCGGGACAGCGAATTTGCATCTTTAGTTTGCATGTTTCTGTCAAAGACTTGTGCTGATCGTGGGTTTTATTACCTGAAAGATGTGGCTCTCATGTAAATAATGACCATGTAGAGAGTTGGGATGGACCGACCTTCATCAGTGTCTAATGTCTGAATAGCAGTAATATAACACCAGCTATGATATAATTAAACTATTTTTCTCTTGACAGTTTCAGTCTCTCTAAATGCGACCCAATACCAATAACCATTTTAACAAGGTGTCATAACTGCAAATGAAAGTTACAGTTATGACACACAATGATGCAATAATTTGTTTTGTCACCAACAGTTGATCTGATCTTTAGAGAGTCTGTTCATAGAGCCTAAATCCTGCTCGCCTTTTTGGTTAGCCACATTTCTACAAGCTGTTGGTTCTCAGTATAATTAAGTGTTTCTTTTATCTGTCCTTCTGAGAAGCTGAAGCATGATGCACAGTCCATATACCAACAAAATGCATGTTGACTAATGTACTGCAAAGTAGAACTTAACCAAGGTACAACTATTATTACTATTATTAGTATGTCGTATTGACTAAATTTAATGATTGTGCATATCTAAATAGGACAAGGTGGGATAGAGGATTAAAATCACTCTGTACTGTTTAGGAACTTAAGGTTAGTTGCAGCCATTGTACATATAAAACATGTGAATTTTAAAGTCTTCAGTTGTTTGTACAAAGAAAGGTCTGGTAATCAGTATGTTCTGAGTTTGTGTTAGGATATGCCGTATTAAAAAATCTGGTTGTGTTTGATTGTATGATAAGAGGGCGGTTGACTGTGAGGCATGTCTGTGTCATTTTCAAAGTAGGCCTATTTTAGTTTTCAATAGCCTCTTGTTGGTGGTAAGGCTGTTGCATGTCAGGGCTTTCCAGTGGCTGAGGGCTGCGCAGATTGACGGTGCACTGAGCCTCTTAACACAAGCCTCAATTCGTGCACACAGTCTGCTTACACAATCACCAG